GCAGAGCAATAAAAGCAGTCAGGGTTTGGCTTTTTTCTTAATGGTTTGCTCTTAATCTTTATGCATTGGAACAAGTGAAGAGTTCTTTGCTATTTATTTCTTCAATAATTGCAGGAGTAAATAATACTACTGACCTCCCAAAAAGAATTCAGGTAAAGATCCCAGTGAGATGAGGGCAATGTCATAACACATCCCAAATCGAACACACAGTCTGTGGCCCTTCACAAATTACTTAGCTAAGCAGGAAAGTCAGGGCTGTCTAGTACTGAACAGAAGATTACCCATGTGGAAATAGCTAAAGAAGCATCCTTTTTTCATAATGAACATAGACAGGATTCGTGAGCTTTGGTTGCTCAGTGCCCTGAATTCTGTAGTGGTTTAGATTTTCAGGTCTTGATTTCACAAATTTTATCTTACTTTTTAAGTTTTCAGTGTCAGGTAGAAGTGAATAGTCCTGAGAATAATGAGAGATTACCATTACTAAGCAGTATTTTATTATGATAGAAAATATCTTTATTAAGACAGAAAATATTCTTCTTGTGACATCATGTGAGAATGACATTTATCTTTGATGTTGAGAACATTGCTAATGAAGCACAGCTGCAAGGTATGGAAATTTCAAAATAAGATGAAGGCTTCTATAAGTTACACAGAACACCCCAGCAGTGGTGTGAGTAGCAGAGCTACAGCTGAGCTCTCAGGCTGTCCTGTGAAAAGTTAGACTACTCAAAGACCTCCAGTATGAATGCTAAGGGAAAAGGTTAATAGAGAAGAGAGTTTTTAGGACTGGAGGATGGAGGGGAGATGGTGTGCATTCCTAGTGAATTCAGGCTCTCTGGAGTCAGTGGAGAAAGAGTTATATGGATTTAATGGGCATTGAACCTCATTTCGGGAGGGTCCATACAGACAGACACAATGACAGTCTTAGATAATTGTGACTCTTTTGGCCTGGCTTTAGAGTTAGAAAAGATGAATGTAACCAGTAATCATGTGTTGGGAGACACTTGTTGTGACACATTAGGTTAATGATCTTCTCTTCTCTTAATTCTATTAATCCTCATATTACTTGTGCCCTAGTTAAAAATTAAAGGCCTCAAACATAAATTCAGCACTTTGTCTGTACACAGCAGTCTGTGTCCAGGGATTTAGTGACATTTCAGGCACCAACAAAGTATGCAAATTTGAATGCAGCTACCTTCTGTATCCATCTGGTATTGGTATCAGCAGAGCTGCACGCAAGGTGATTCTTACTTTGTATTATGAACCAATCTCTTTTAGCTGCAGAATTTTCCCTTCTTTGGTTATTTCTTTCAGCCAGCAAGTATGCAAATATATACATAGACATTGTAGCACTGTCACTTTAATATACAGAACATTTACAGAATACCCACCAGTGGACTTGGAAAATATGTCGGTGTTTATTATGCTCATGAATGAAAGAAAATGCCAGGACCTCTTAATGTATAACATTCTGGGCCTGCTCATTAATGCAAACCCACTAGGATGGGTCAATTTGACCTTTCTCAAACAATTACTCCTTATTCATGGTCAATTAGGAGGTTTTCCCTCATTTAAAAAAATATGAGGACCAAGTAATCAGATACCTAAAATAAAGTTGTGGAAATGACAGTTGATTTTTTTCTGAGAAGTCAAATCTATGTATTTCATTCCCTCAGCAGGGAATAAATGCCTACATGGAAAACTCCTTTTACAAAGATGTAATGGACACAGGAAATTGCCTCTTAATTTAGTGTTTTCATGTCTTTGCCAATGGGTGTTTAATTTTTGTTATAACACTCTCAGTACAATACTGTCCTGCCTTGGCTATGCAGTAATAAAAAAACATCTGGGGAGTTCAGTGAACAACTTTGTGGGAAGATAAGAGGTGGCTGAAATTTTACTTGCAGTTTTTATTTCAGACATCAGCTTTTAATTCCATTGTATTGTTTAACCTTCAGTGTGGTTTCTCTGGGAGTAGATTTAATTTAATTATCTTATTTTGTGCCTTCTGTGGATTCCCTACACCTGAATGATAGTTCTGTAGACTAAACTTTATGATGAAATGAAATATGCTGAGATTGAGTGTCTAAGCCTTCTGAGATTGTACTTGTAGAGGTTTCATAACATAATTGTCTTCTGATGTGGAAATCTCATCTACAAAGCAAAATGGTGAAATTTTACAAATAATTCCTTTATGATGAACAATATAAGTGTATTTTGTGTTCTGTTGCAAAATTATATATATTTTTTAATGTGCATATGGATTCACAGATTCATAGAATAAGTTTGATTGGGAGGGACCTTTAAAGGCCATCTAGTTCAACCCCTTTACAATAAACAGGAACATCTTCAGCTAGATTAGGTTGCTCAGAGTCCCATTCAATCTGACCTTCAACATGTCCAGGAATGCAGCATCCACCACCTCTCTGGGCAACATGTTCCAGTGTTTCATCAATCTCATAATAAAAAAAGTGTCTTCTTTACATCTACTCTGAAAATCAATATATATTGATGTTATATATAAACCCAACATTTTAAATGCAGAGAGTTGGGATTTTGTTTTTCATTTCACCAACTAGTAGGTCAAGGGAGGTAATTCAGTTCTAAACTCCACTCTTGTCAGAACCCAACTGGATTACTCTGTTCAGCTCTGTTCAGCCTCCCAACACAAAATGACCATGGAGTCCACAAGAGGGCCATGAAGATGGTCAGAAGGCAAGAGCCCTTCTCAGGAGACAGGCTGGCAGAGCTGGGCTTGTCGAGCCTGGAGAAGAGAAAGCTCTGGGGAGAGCCTTACTGTGCATTCCAGTACCTAAAAGAGGTGTACAAGAAAGTTGGACAGGGATCTTTTACAAAGTCATGTAGTGACAGGACAAGGAAGAATGGCTTTAAACAAAGAGTGTAGATTTAGGTTAGATATTAGGAAGAAATTCTTTACAGTGTGGGTGGTGAGGCACTGGAACAGGTTACCCAGGCAAGTTGTGAATGTCCCACCCCTGGAAGTTCAAGACCAGGTTGGATGTTGCCTTGAGCAAGCTGGTGTAGTGGAAGGTATCCCTCCCCATGGCAGGGGCATTGGACTAGAAAATGCTTTGGTTCCTTTTCAACCCAAAGTATTCTTTGATTCAATGAAATGTCTAGGTCTTCTCTCTTTCATCCATAGTTCCTAACTCCTTAGGATTGAATTTTATTGAAGCCCTGTGTAGACAGAGGAAAATCTTGGTAAAGCCAGCTGCAAATCATTGTACTGCTGATTTCAGCGTGTCACTTGTGTAGGCAAGTCTTGCAGCAGTACCATGACACCTGTGAGACAAACAGGTCAGTGACCCCTGGGTTTGAGACTGGTGCTGTGCCACAGTAGGTGCCCAGCAGCCCTTGGTGTGAGCCCATTTACTAACAGGAACCAAGACATACTGTGGGGTCACTTGCTGTGTGTCTCTTTCAGCTGGAGACACAGTGATTGCTAAGAGCTGGCAGCTTATGAAAACAGGTGATACATGCTCAGAGATCTTCTTGGTATGCCCTCAAGGCCTTTTAAGTTACTTTGCTTGTAATAAGAGGATGCCAGAAGACCTTTATAGTCTATGTATAGACCATATGGATATATATACACAGCTACATGTCAGGCATGCAATATATATATATGGTTGTGTATTTCTGCTTCAATTTGCTGCAATTTCAAAGCCTTCACTTCAGTGCATCTTTCTCCTGTAGTTATCTTTCTAAAATATAATTTGCCTAACAAATGCCATCACAATGGTGTGTGCTCGACTGTGTGCTCCTGTGCTGAGATCATCTTGAGAGAGATGTCTGTGGAGCTGCAGGTTTATCCCATCAGTAGATCATCCTGCATTAATGCCTCAAGCAGTAATACTAGCAAAGCTGTTTTGAGTTCTCTTAACTGATAAGTGACTCTCACTCCTTATCAGCATAACAAGTAATAGCAAGAGCTTTGTAAACAGAGAACATCACTAGGCTTTGCATTTCTAATCTGTCCGTATCCTTAATCATACTGGAAACACGAGGACATGGCAAGAGAAGAGCATCTGAAGCTTCTATTGAAATAAGGTGGCTGGACAATTGCCACCTCATTCAGCAAAACTTTGCTCTCCTTTCATATTTTTATTGGCCGCTGGGAGGAAATTAGGATGCAGGGAAAGGAAGAGTTCATCAGTGGAAGAAAAATTTCTTTTCTTACTGCTGATAAGTGGTTTTGCCTGAAAGGGGCTGCTAAAAGTTCCACGTGAAGACTGGTATATCACTGGAAAAGGACAAAGTCACTTGTCTGGGCAGGTGGCTTGGTAGACAACATCATTTATTGTGAAGTCATTATGGTCAGGTAGCTGCAAGCTGAATTCAGAGTCACATTCCTGAAACTTTAGATTTGGATTTCAGCTACAGTTATCACATATCCTAGAGCCACACCAAGCCCTGATGGTAATATCATAAAAATTCTGTTTCAGGTGCAGTAGATAGCTTCTTAAGGTTTGAATATTTTTTCATTGCTGCTGTTGTCTTTTAGGTAAATTGACACAGTTTGCATCTGGAGGGGCTGTGTTGGTTTTGTAATCACATTTTATGATAACTGGCAAATAATAGCTTTAACTTTTTGCAGAGGGGAACAGAATGACTCTGGCATACAAGCGTTCCAAGCAGAGAGCTCAAAGCTCCAATCTCCCTTTTCAGACAATATAAACTGACATGGTGATTATGTATCTTCAGAACAAGAATGTGCTTTAGAGATTCAGGAAATACTTGCCAACATAACTATTAAACATAAAACCTGCAGAAATCCCACCACTCAAACATGTGGATGAGGTATTTTGTTTCAGTAGACCTTCTTGGTGATGGTGTTAACATTTTAATGTTTAGATACTGTCAAGCTTATTGTTAAAAATTTTTCAGTGGAAATACCATATACATGGGGTTTTTCCATGCTTGATGTTTTTTATGCTTGCTTTTCAGCATAGCTAATTTGATTCTATCGTGTTTTCCTGCAGCAGTTAAGATCATGGAAGAACCAGAATCATCAGGTGATGACCTTTTTGTTACAGCTAGCACTTATGAAAGGTCGCCTTTCTTTACTGGTGCAAGTGATGTCTCCACCGTGCAGCCTGGAGCTGTTATTACAGATGTGCTGCCATCAGTAGCGCCGCTGCCTGCAGCCACCAGCCCATCCTACAGCCCCTCTGAGATCATCGAGCAGTCCCTTGAGTTGCCAGGGCCCTCGGCGCCAGCCCCTGCGGCCGTTCCTGCGGATGGCACCGGGATGGGGGTGCAGGACATCGCTGCCGAGCTGGATCCCATGGGCGCGGTGAGCACGGCCGCGCTGGACCAAGGGGAGCAGGGCAGTGGCTCCATCCCAGGGCTGACCGCAGAGCCTGCAGAAACCACCCCGGCGCCGGCGCTCAAGTACCTAACTACCAGCTCCATGACAACTGCAGCCAAAGGCAAAGAGCTCGTGGTTTTCTTCAGCCTCAGGGTGACCAACATGCACTTCTCTGACGACCTCTTCAACAGGAGCTCAACGGAATACAAAGCACTGGAACAACAGTTCATGCAATTGGTGGGTGAAAATCAACTTGAACAGCATGCGTGGTAGTTGGGTGCAGTTTAAAGGAATACGCTGAAGTGCACAGTATTTTAACAATACTAAACGCTTCTACAGTTCAGTCTGATAAGCTGTATTTTAAAGGATCCATAAGCCTGGGATGTTCTTAAAGTCTGAAGACAGGTTTTATGAAGTCAGTGATGAAAGATTTTACTTGATCAAGAGAACCCAGATATATGCCTAACATGTAATTTATTTGGCTTTTTCTTAGATCCACGTCAACAGTACAGCGGTGCTGATTATATCTGAGACTTGTGTCTGCTTGCTGCATTTAAAAATAGGCTTTTAAAAATATATCATAGCATAGACTGTGATTAGATATGGATTTTCTCTGTTGGTACAATAGGGCACAGGTCAGCTCAGCTATAGCATAACAGCCTTTTATACTATGCCCTAGTATAACCTGCCTGGATTGAATGTTTGAAAATAATTAAAGTTGGCTTTTGAGTGAGGTAATTTTTTTCTCTTCCAGATGAATAAACTTCCCAGCTGCTATGCATTTCATTACAGGGGAAATTGCTGTCCATCCATCTCAATACATTATTGAGAAAAGAGCAGAAATCCAGAAGAAGTTACTGCTAAACAGAAAAGTTAATTTGTTCACAGATCTTAACAGTTGTATTAAACTCAGGGAAATAAATCTGTGATGTGTGTACTTGATAATGAAAATTGACTATAAGAGAAATTAATAGCAGGTAGACACTGACAGTAAGTTAAAATAAAGGCAAATTTCTGTTTTGCAGTTGCTTCCATACCTTCAGTCCAACCTTACAGGTTTTAAGCACTTGGAAATTCTCAACTTCAGGAATGGAAGTGTGATTGTGAACAGCAAAATGAAATTTGCCAAGACAGTGCCATACAATATCACAGAAGCAGTACACTGTGTTTTGGAAGATTTCTGTGATGCTGCAGCCCAGCACCTCAATTTGGAGATTGACAGCTATTCCCTGGATATTGAGCCAGGTAAGGTTGCATTACTAATGTATGTGCTAAATCAAAACTAAGCAGACAATCTTTTTTCAGACTGTTACAGCTTCAGAAGTATGACTGTCTTTGAAATAATCACATTAGCAATATCCTCCCAGTGATAGGAGGTAATAAGACAAAAAAAGATGTTGCAAATTCTCTGCAGATATATTTTCATAATGTAATGAATAGCTGGGTGGAGCTGTTGGGCTGTGCATGTTCACCAGCTGCTTTTCAGAGACAGAGTGATCTCTAGAATAAGTCCTGAGTGATGACAGGTATAAGAAATGCTCATGTTCAGTTTGCAGGTCTTGCACTGAAGTATAGAAACATAATTTCTGATGATTATTGCAATGCTGTAAGCAAACCATGGTTTAGAGCATTGTTATCTTTTTTTAAAGGGATACAGCATTCAAAACAAAAGGAGACAATATGTAGGAATAATTGGATTCTACAGATATTCACAAATTGGGCATGTCTTTATGTAGTACTCCATAGATTTGTAATTCTAGAATCCCTCTGGATTTATATCTTTCAAATAAGTTAATAGTCTTTGCTAAACAGTAGAAAGTCAGTAACTACATACCTGGACACTATTCTTATGTCCACAACTTAGTGTTTTCAAAAACTACACTACTTTATAAAATTGAAGCCTGAATCTATTTTCAGGCTCTGGTAATTATTTCAGGGTTGAATTTAATTTCATTGTCATGGAGAAGAAAAATAGCAAAGGTATGCAGATGCCTCAAGGAGTTTTGGTTAAACTGTCATTTTTATGTAGAGATCTATGACAATTCTGGAACAAAAATTCATTTACAACTCAGTTTCTAAGCAGTTTTCATTTTATATATGTCTTTGTGGCCACTAAAAGCATAGATAACTTGTGGTAAAGAAAGCTAACAAAAACCACAGTATTCTACCCTTCAAACAAACCATGATAAACTGATGCTTGATAAATAAAGTATCAAATTAGTTAATTATAAAGAGTGGACTTTGGGCTGCCATAAGTTCCCTGCCTTAGTAATAAATTTTCATTAAATAAAAATTAAAATAAGAAAGATCCTAAAATGCAAATTCAGAAAAAATTTTAAATCTTTCATCTTCATCTTATGTGCTTTACTGATGTGGTATTTTAATTCAAGAAAACAGAGAGTTCATTTCAGAGACTTTGTGGAGAGAGCTGCTTTTTCGAGGCTTATAAGCTTATAAAGTAGTATAGAGTCAAAATAGAAATTGTGTTTACAAAGCCAGTATATTCCAGTACAGGTGTGTCAAGGGCGTTTTAATTTCAGAAAACAAACAAAAAAACCAAAACAAAACAAAAAAAACAAGCTGTGTAGCAAGTTAAGGTAATATAAGAAAACCCCTCTTTATTGTGAAACTGAGAGCCATCTAGTGGTAATGATGTTCTACCAAAGTGAAACATGGATGGGAACTGACAGTGCAAAGTCTATACCAAGAGTCAGCAGCTGCAAAGGGCTGACTGCACTGATCATAAATAATACCATAAAGAAGGACTTTTCAAAACACCTGCACGAAATATTTCATTCGTTATGAACAATAAATTAATATTGAATAATTAATAACCAATAATTAATTTTTATAATATATTTAAATTTCTTTCATTAATAATTAATTTCCGTGGGAGCAGAAAATATAACAAAGTATGCACATATGTGTTCAGGAAGATGAAATATTATCACAAGAATTCAGCCCAGCCAAATGCTCTAGCCAAGCTCTACTTCTTAGAGTTTACCTGTGCTCACACTCCCAGTCCAGGAGCAAAGGACACATCAAACCAACATGCACATTGCATATGGCAAAGAAAAATGGTGCACAGTAAAACCCACTAGTCAAAACTTCAAAACAGGAATTAGCCATAAAATTATTGAGGGATTATAAGTGATCAGCTCTGATGGATTAATTTCTATCACTGAAGCATATCCGTGTGTGTGTGTGTGTGAGATTTCCAGTACTCCAATAAGAAATGTAATCCTCATTTTTCTTTTAAATTAGTATTACTGAGTATCTGGTATATAGAGCATGACTGGCTGCAGAAGAAAACTCATCCCAGCTACAAGCTGCAATATCCAGTACAAACCTTTTTTTTTCAAATTCATTTCTAGTAAGAAGCAGAGAATGGGACAGGAAAAGCAGACTTGTGTAACAGCTGTCTCTGATTTGGGCCTTGCCATGAACATCAGCAGGGTTCTTTTCCCTTAATCTAACAGAAGCATTCCTTACTAATATCTTAAAAACAAGACAAAAAATCAAGCAAGCCTTCCCAATGTTAACATACCACAAAACAAAAAACTTAAGCAAACAAAAACAAAAACCCCAATAAACAAACAAGCAAAGAAACAAACACCCAAAACTACAACAGTAACAACAGCAACAACAAAACAAACAAAAAATTCCAAACAAACAAAAAACCCTATACACACAAAAACCCAACACTGCAAAGTCTGCACTTATTCTGTGGATATGACAGTATTTCTGCATTGCAGGTCTTAGTATTGTGCAGTATTCAATAATCTAACTACATTCCTCTGTCATGTCCTAAATGATGTGTTTAAGAACATATAATTATAGTTGAAATTATTTCTCTCACATAAGGCTGTAGCACAGGATCCATGAGTATGATGATAGCACTCACTGCAAAACCAGGATAAAAACATCCAAATGTGAAAATCCTTCTCCTTGAGATAAAAGTAAGTTGTTTGCTTAACAAAGATGGGGTAAATCAGTGCAGGTGTCAACATGAACATCTGTGTCCTGTACAAGAAGAGGCTGTGTGTCTTCCCATGCTCAACGACATCCTCCATCAGCACGCCCAAGTGGCAGGCCAGGAAACATGAGCTGTTTCCTCTGGCTGCTAGGAGCCCTGCCAAGGCCCTTTGGGGTAATGCTGCAGTTAATGATTTACCCATCCTTTACAGCTGATCAGGCAGACCCCTGCAAATTCATGGCTTGTGACAAGTTTTCCGAGTGCGTGCTGAACGAGTGGACGAGAGAGGCCGACTGCCTCTGCAAGCCTGGCTATGCCAGCCGGGATGGATTGCCCTGCCGGAGCCTGTGCGAGCTGCAGCCCCACCTCTGTGTCAATGGAGGCAAATGTGAGCTGGTGCCAGGAAGAGGAGCTGTCTGCAGGTAAATAGATTGATGAATTCTGTTAACAGCCCCATAAACCATGCTAATAAGCCAAAAGCTTGACATTCAGATGCTGTAAGTCACACTGCAAATACCCTTCTGAAGTATAAATAATCTCATTATAGATAAATCCATTTCTGCCTGTTAGTATACACAGAACATTATGATCTAGTTATTTTTAAAGATGTTTCAGAAATTTATTAGGAATTCAGCATCATTGGCAGTGATGACACACACAAAGGCATGCATTGCTTTCAGATTTCCAAACACATCTTGGAAAAATGAAATAACACATTCAGTTTTGCTACTGATTACATGGTAGCATTTTAAGAAATTACATTTTTCTAGGATATATTAAAAAGGAAATCTTTATTAATACAGACTGTGATTCCAAACCATGCAATAAAGCACTTGATGGCTGAAGCTGCTTTCAGGGATTTCTGGGAAAGTCTTGAAGATTAGCAGCTCTTCCTTACTGCAAATATATTTCTTAAGGATTTTTAAATTTAAATACTGAGAACTACACAGTACTTGAACACATTAAGTCTCTTTTACGAAGTATCAAGTTTCTCCTTGTTTTAAGACTAGACAATTCAGACAATTATGTGAGCTAGACAGTTATGTGAAATTGCATACTAGACTGGCCCACAGTAGCTGAACAATCATGTACATAAGCAAGAATCAAGTTACAACTCTTGCATTTGTTTATTCTCTCTTAATACTTTGACTAGATTAACAATACATCTTTTACCTTACTTAGGATAGAACACAAAAAAATAAAACCACTGGACAAATTATTCAAATTATTCACTGTAACAACCCAGCTACTAAAATTACTTTTCTTCAATGGGCATCACAGGAATTATATTGAATTCACCACAGTTACTGCCAAATTCCTGATTTTCAGAGTCCCAGTAGAGCAGCTGCAGCATTTAGTATTGGAAATCAGCCTGTGAGCTAGAAAGGTCCTCTTCAAAACCTTGCTGAGGTAGCAAGGGTTCTGAGCTACTCATCCAAGACTGATGCACTAAAGAAAATAACTCTTTCCCCATTCAGAAAAACCCTGCATGTAGAGGTATAACCAAACCATCATCAGGAGTTATAAAGTGTATTAAAAATAATAAATGAAAATTTTTGGGAGTTATAGCAAGTCACAAATTCCCACCAGTGTCAGACTGATAGCTTGTGCAAACTTGTACTGTCAGAGAGAAAATTATGGCCTACTGTTTGCCCTTGTGCTCTATGTAAATTCACTCTCCCCCTGTCTTAAAAGAGGAGTAGAATTCTGCTATTTGTACAAGAACTTTTATTTCAGACCTTACTCCCCAGAGTGAAATCACCAGTAAACAGAATATAAGTTTCAAAGTTGTGTTCAGACGCTACCTTAAAATATACCTGAACTTCTAAAGTTCTAAACCACAAATGTTACCTGTGGGGTTAGAAATTTGTAAGAGATATTTTAAATGCATTATTTCCTTAAAATTTGTAGGTCGGCAAGACATATGTCAGCGTCCTTTTATTTAAAACTCACTCTAAAAATATTATCTCTCCCTATCATCAATCACATTATTTTCATGCAGACACATAATTATTTGTCATGGAAATCATGAGTTCATAATACATTGCAGATTTTCTTTTCTTTTTATTTAAGATACTCAGTATTTTTTGCCTTAAAGTTCTGTACATTTTTTCTCTTCCTTTCCTTATTTTAGATGCCCTGTACGTAGACACCAGCTTTACCAAGGACAGCGCTGTGCAAAATTTGGTCCAGAACCCATACAGCCCTTCAATTTTAAACCTCTCATTTTTGGCTTAGGAAGCCTTGGCTTTCTTTTCATCATTTTAATTATTAAGATAAGAAGAAAATGCAAAAGAAACTCTAATATGCAGTAAGCTGCTCACAGTCTTTCCCTTCACATTTCAAAATACTCCTTTTGTTTCTTTTGCAATTTAAAATCTCACCTAAACAAAAATGTTCTGCATTGTAGAAGTCCTACTCTCAGCAGCTGCAATTCAGAAAATGCTGTAAGGATTAATCCTGCTTTTGAACACGATGAATCCCTGTCTAGATTTTGTCACACGGCTTGCAGTGTAAGTGCTTGTCTCAGTTCCTCAGAGATCCTTGATCACGAAGCATTACATGAACTTGAAAACACAATTCAGCCTGGAGGTAAACTGCATGGAAATCCCTTTCTCATCCCTCAACAAACAGCCCCACCTGAAGTAACAGATTCACCTTCATGTATTAACTCCACAACTAAATCAAACTTGAAGCTACTCTCTTGCTTGGCGATTTCAGAACTGAAAATACTAATGAATTCATTGCTTTCCACATTTACTGCAGTGTAGTTTTCACAACAGGACTGTAGAACTGCTTTTCTTACAGCTCTCTTGCATGGCTCTGGCAGTCTATCCTAGCTGAGTGCTTTTAGTCATTTAGAGAAATAATTAGTGGTTTGGTTTTTTTACTCTTGTAGGTCACCAGATGAGTTTACAAAACCAAGACTGACAAGTTAGTCTCTGGAATTCCTCGTTTCCAGCATCAGCCAGACAAAATCAAGGTTTGTGATTATTTTCAAGAACCTTAGAAAGCTGTTGTGTCCCATTGTTAATGTCACCAGGGAGCCTCTTTGTAGTAATTTCATACAAAGAAAAGCTCAGATGTTTTTGATGCTTGATATGACAACTACATTTTCTTGTTAAATGTTTTTATGCAACAAAGTTCTTTTTGTATAACCTTGTGCTAATGTGGCAGTCACTGGAACATGTGAAGGAAGAAGAATACCTGAAATGACAAATTAAAACAAAATGCAATCCAAAGGAGAGGTTTAGATAGCAGTACTAGCTCACTTAAAATCTCAAATCACTCAGTCTGGTTAAGGTACATAGAGTTTGACAAGTAGGAATTCTAATTTGAACAGAATCCTGCTCATATCTCAAGTATTATTTCAAGTTTTGCTACTTGAAACCCCTTGTATCATTGTGGGGGGAAGAAAAGACCGAAAGGAGGAAAGCTGAGTCTGGCAGACTGTTTCTGATGTATCTGAGTATGTCCTCTTGATAGGTACCAAAAAAAGCTTTTACTTTGCCATTTTTCATTTTTCTGAATTACAGCCCAATTAGGAATAAAAAGGTTTTGCTATAGCTGTTAGCACCCATTGTTATTGTGGGGAATATCAGTACAGGAGTGCCCTTGGCACTAGCTGGAAGACAGGATAGCAACTACGTGAATCTTGGGCTCCTAACATGTCTGTTGTTATGTAAATAAAGGAACAAGCAAAGATATCATAAAGAAAGATTTATTACCACTGATCTTCATCATACCCAGGCCTGGTCTCTTCAAGTACAGTTACAGACTGAGCTGAAAATGGGGGACTGGAACACAAAGATAGAGATGGATGAAGCAGCAGGGAGTAGCAGTTTGGAAAAGCTCAAGAATGAACTCACTTCGCTGGTCATAAAAGCATGAGCACAGATGTTTGCAATTAGTATTTTATACCCACCTTAAAAGAAATGTACCTGTGGGCAATTGTAGACCAATAAACTTTCATAATAGCTAAACTACTTAAAATACTACATAGAAAAGCATTAAATATTTTATTAAAGTAATAAAATGGCACATCTGTGAAATAAAACCAGGTCTGTGACACCTAGACAATATTTGAATTGTCAAAAGTGCATTGACAAAGCTCTTCTCAAGATCTAGTCAAATAAATTAATTTAGTGAGAAATCCAGCAGCCACAAAATTGAAATGGGTTTAAAAAAATTAGGTGGCTATTTTTCACTGTTACTTAAATTCACAGTGAATGTTTACATCACCCTTAGATTCAAGATGTTTTTAATGATTTGAAAAAAGTCAATGGCAGAAGAAAATGAAACCTTTCATTAGCTGAAACTAAAAGGAGCACTTTTTAGCCTTCAGGGCTAAAATTTTTTAAATAGAATATGGCACTTGAACTAAATTTTAAGGATGTGGCTATCTACAGCTTGTAGGGCAAACTGAGAATTCAGTATCTAAATTCTGGTTTGCAATATGTAATGACAGCAATGACAGCTTTTTAGGATGCATTATCTAGAGTAAGTACAGCTCTGTATTTATAAAGGCATATATGAAAATAGGCATAAAGTTCCAATAGAAGCTAAAATAACCTTCAAATCCTCCCCAAACATGAAAAATGTCTCCAGTTTAGTTATTGAACCACTGCATGGAAAATTATTGCAAACTTACTCATCAGAGGGGGTTTTGATTGGGTGGAGTTTTACCCAGTTAGTCATTCAAAAACTAACAACTTTTAACATATCCAGGGATGGGGCATCCACAACTTCTCTGGGCAATCTCTTCCAGTACCTCACCACCTTCACAGTTAAGAATTTCTTCCTTACATCCATCTAAATCTCTTTCAGTTTAAAGCCATTCCCTCTAGTCCTATCACTCCCTTTCCTTGCAAAAAGTCTCTCTCCCTCCTTCTTGGGCCCCCCATAGATACTGAAAGGCCATTAGAATGGCTCCCTGAAGCCTTCTCAAAGCTCAATTATTATAATAAACTACCTATTTTGATGACCTTGCCTATTAGATATTAGATAAATAGTACACTTTCAAATTCAACAATACTTTTCAAATGTCTTAATAAGAGACTTTCTCTTATAGGTATTCAAGAAAGAAGGTCTGCATTATTCAAGATTGGACTTCAGGATGAGTATGAAAAACGAAATAAAGTATTCCTAAAGATACAGTATTTCGGCTCTAATATAAAAAAATAGTTTTACTGGAGGAAAGAAACCAAGTTGAGCACCTTTTGAGCATGTGTAAAATGCCTGGTAGGAAGTTCCCCACTATTGAGATGCATGCATTAAGCTTCTGGTGCTTAACACATCTTAACTGTTTTATTTAAGACCTGAGTGCTAGAAACAGATTTTGCTGAGAAGTGACATTTTTCAATATTGTATGTTTCAGTCATTCTGGTAAAAATGTCAGTGGAGTTTCAATGCATTTCCATACCCCTTTATTAACCTTCCTTACACACACTGATGCAAATGGTGAATGGAAATTAGAGCTGTCGTTGACCAAAGGCCACATTAAAAGCGTTTGGGAACTTCTTCATTCCCTCCCTGAATGCTCACATGGCAAATCACACAGAGTTTGGATTTAATTTTTCAAGGGTTTTTATGAACATCAGATTCCTATTTTTCTGTTAATAAACACGCCATTTTTACTAAGTACATATTCACTTAACTGTTTAATTCTGGTGACAGGAAAACTATCAGGCTATCCTAAGACTTCAGACTTTTTGCTGAGGTCCAATATATGGAGTTTCATCTTTCCAGAACATGAGAATTATATTCACAACCATCCTCCTGGTAGTGAGTAAATTAGAATTGCACATGAGAACCTACACTTTAGAATCAGTATCCACACAAATAATTTTCAGAAGCTAGTGTTAGTTTTTGTAGTAGAAATTCAAGCAGACAACAGGTAGCCATTAAGTATTCTGTAGGCTTATTAATTTATGCACTATGAAGCCACAATCCTGATTCAAGTAGGAGCATTATTTTACCTTGAGTATTTCTTTCTTGAGTAAATATCTCCATTTCTATTTGCTGCTTGGTGCACACCAGAAGTCGTACTTACAGCTCAAACTGAGCTTCTACAAAGTTCATGACTATCCTGGATGACAACCCCTCATTCAGATGTGAAACTTCTGTGTATTCAGGACAGCAGCTGACTTTGGTGACAATTCTTACTTTGTGCCGTGCAGTTACCACAGCAAAGACTGAACTTTGGTTTCCCTTCTCAAGTCTGCTCAGAACTGTTTACAAATTCCAAACAACTGCACGGGTTTGCCTGCAAAAAAACCACCGGAACTGGTGACTGTGTACAAATGAAGGCAGTGCATCAAGAACACAAGGTTGAATTTCTAAGCTGAAATAGTAGTTTTACTTACTTTATATAAATAGGAAAGAAAAATAAAGAAGAAACCTAAGATGTGTTTTTACACAGTTACACTTCAGAATAAAATTACTTTAAAAGTACTTTTTGCAGGGCACTGGAAGTCATCCTTGCCTACAAATGCTAGCTTTTCACTATTGCTCATGTAAGCTAAGAATGCATTAAGAATGCTGATAGCATTCCACTTTTTCCACTACAAATGTATTTTTGTATGTGTTTAGTGTATTTCAACTTACACTAGTTATCATTAGCCAGATAAAAACTAAGTAATTTTAAAATGTGCATTTTAATAATGATTATTCATGATTGTATTTATCACTCTCAACTATTAATTACCAAATATATTTGCTGGACATAAACCTTTTGTATTTCAATAAAACACAATAAAATTATTTCCTTGAAAATTTCACAGGGAATTGAAGTGGTACCTAATATTACACTAAAGCTCATCATGTTACTTTAAAACTGATGGAGATAAAAGCCATAAGGAAACTGAAAAAAATTACATTTCCTAGATAAAGTATGACTTACTTAAATCTTTTAAAATTAAAAAATTACTACTGTGAGTTGGCCCCTAAGATGAAAAAGTTCCCTAAGACTCCAAGGGGAATACAAACAAACAAAGCCCCACAAAAGCAATACCACATCTCCGTCCCAAACATAAAGCTTCCACCACAGGACACACACTCAAAGCAGCAGAGCTGGTGTCACCAGTCACTGACGGACACAATCTAAAATTAAAAGGATACAGAGAACATAGCATAGCAAATGACAGACATATTGGAAGTGATAGCAATAAATCTTAAAAAAGCATTGAAAGTAAAAAGATACTTGTTTCAATAAATACTGAGAAATGAAGTATGAGGTTTAAGATAACAAAATCAAAATTTTCTAATATCAGAATGTCATTCTAAAGGAACACTTACCTTAGAAAGTAAAGAAAAATCTTTACTAGAATAAAGCTTTAAAAAGTAGATTTAAGTACCAAAAATATCTCATGGAAAAACAGCAGACAGAACCAACAAAAGAATATATTTATCTTTCTCATAACTTAATTAACCCTTATGCTTCAACTCTTCAAAGACAAAAACAGTAAGAAGATACAAGTAAGATTTCAACATGGAATGTGTTTATTTTTTATTTTTAAATTTCAGTACAGTATTAAGAGGTCATTTAAATACTTAAAATAAAGATATTTGAAGAAAAACCCAGAGGATTCAACTAGGTAAAGAAAAACACAATCTTATCAGTGGATAAAAGACAAGTATTGACTGATCTTAGGATCTTCAGAGTAGTATTCTCAAGAAAATGCATATTCCTGGGTCACCTAGTCAGGAATTTAGCTAAGTGTGGTGATTCTCTTCCTATCCTTTGTTTTGTGGAGCATTTTAGGTTGATCTCACCTACAATGGACAGCTTCAGTGACAGGCAGGAAGATTTTTTTTTTTTTTTTAATGAAACACACAGAGAACCAAGCCAATGTGGTTTAAAAAACTCTATCATTTTCTCTATAATTATAGATCAGATAGGCACCAGGTCATCCTACAGTCCTAAAGATAAACCCTCTCCCCTCATTTTATATTTCCTCTCCAAATCAACCAGCTATAATTACCCAATAGAGTACAAGGGACCATGGAAACAACTGGTAGCCAATTAAATATTGCCAGACAGGTAAAAAAAAAAATCTGAAACTAACTGAAAATTAATTTTGTTCCACAAAAAGATAAGTAAAACTAAGAGCAGAAGCTGCTTTTAGTGTAGAGTGAAAAAAAAAAGGGGAGGAAAAATCAGCCTGCTACTGTGCAAACTAGAATACACTAATTTCTGGAATGCATCTTCTGCTTCCCTCAGGCATACTTCTGGAGCAATGCTGGGAGGTGGGAACATCTCATGTGAGATGTCCAGCCACCAGAGGCTCTTCCACTATTTCAAAGTCCATTTTATTTTCATGATAGCTCATATTTGTTAGTCATTTAGTAAAGAAAAAATTCCATACATCCCATTCTGATGAATAAATTTTCTTTTCAATGCCAGTCAAGGACATCCTGACATAATTAAAGTAACAGAGTGGAAAAATTAAGTTAATTTTATTTAAAGTTCCCTGCAGGTATGTTTACACGCATACATACTAAAATATTTAAGCACATATATCTGTATATACCTCCACACATGTAAGCATTTGAGGCTCTTTGCTTACAATATTCATTCTCATAAGATCCATGGACTTTAAAGATATTTACACTGAGATGGAATGTGCTAAGTCAAGCAGGTAAACACAAGACAGAAACAAACACAGGTCAAGTCAGTGATTTTTCTTTCTTGGATCGCATGAGTGAGCACAGCTTCTTGCAGTGCTAAGTGTTTGGGGACTGGAAGTTGTCACATTTTGGTTCCAATGCAGTAACACATTAAACCAGTAATCTAAATTTCATAAGATGCACCTTTAAACTCATGCAACATTGTACAGGTTTGCACACAACTTTCCAGCCAGCAGTCTGATGCACTTCTCCTTTCATCTTCCAGCCCAAAATGACTGTTTCTGTGAAGAATTTGGGTAAAATGAAAACAATTTTCTCATTAGCAACCACATGATCAGAAAGTAGAGTGGGTCTGCAGCAGAAGCTGAGATTCCCTGATGCAGTGGATGTGTAGAGAGTTAAATAACACTTGAGTATCTCCACAGTATTCCCATAAGGAGTGCATTTATAACAACAAGCAGACTGTGGCACGCAACCACAGCCTAAGGTCAGCAAGGAGCTTTCACTGTGCTCCAGAACCACCCCTCTTGAAAATAAAGTATATTTATGCATTTAAAAATTAAAGTTTCCAAGAGGTTTCATGCTCAGTAAGGAGTGTGGAAATTATTTTATACTGTAAGCAAACTGTCAATTAAAAAGGGCAAAAATTCATTTTTAAATCAGGCTATGTAATTGGACATCACGCTACTTATATTTTGGATTTTTATCAGACAGATAACCAATGGTCATGTTTAATTTGTTGAAATAATAGCCAGCAAGGTAAAGCAATGTTCACATAAGTGAAAGAGATGCATCTTAAAAGTGTATGAAATTAATGATTCCCACCCACAAAAACTCCCCAAACAAACAGCTTAATAAAGGAACTGTTACAAGCTATGAAGCTTGATAGAGGAGATTAATATACAGCTCAGCATCCAAATCACTATGATATTCCACTACACTAAAAATTGTAGCTATTTCATCAGCACATAGTATTAAGATGCACTGTTATTGGACCAATTTTTTACACAGTCTAACAAAAGTTACAGACCTTGTATATCTCGTTACAGTTAAAATAAAGAGGATTTCTGAAGCTCAGGCTTCAATATTCGGTTAAGTTATACTGCCAGCAAAAAGCTGAACATATTTCCCTTAATGCTATCCTTAATCTTATATACCTTCAGATACAAAGCTTGGACAATTTTGTGTAATATGTTGAAATTACACTACCTGGCTAAACAAACTGTCCAAGGCTTCTATTAAACGTGGTCAGAAAAATAAAAGTCTAAAGCAGATTTGTACTAAAAAAAAAAAAAAAAAAAAGAATCTGTGAGAGAAGTGGTATAAGCCCTAAAGAGCAGTACATTCTTTGAAGACCTCCAATATTATACTATTTTGACGTAATATGAATGCTTTTCTTGGAATGTACAGAAAATCAGTTCTCTTAAACCAAGACAGAGAATGCATTAAACAGGGATTTATACGTCTCAAGTTTAGGAGGATTTCCCACCAGGTTCTGGAAAAACAAAAATCATTAAATACAGACACTAACCAGTTTGCAAATCAGGACATAAAATGTCTCAGATTATATAAAAGTATACTCCAACTTCTCCGTAACAGAAGTCAAAGCTAAGGCCTCACAATTCCAGTTATTA